GGCGTGGTAGCGCACGCCTGTAATTCCGGCTACTTGGAAGGCTGAGGCAGAAGGATCGCCAGAGCCCAGCAGGTCGAGGTTGCGGTGGCTGGGAACAGCCACTGCACTCCAGTCTGGGCGACAGAGTGAGATTCTAACTCAAAAAAAAACAATGAACAATAAGAAAAAATTGAGAAAACAATTCCATTTATAATAGCATCAAAAAGAATAAAACACTTAAGATGTCAATCAAGGAGGGGAAAGACTTGCAATGATAAACTGCTGAAAGAAGACAGAAATAAATGTAAACATATCCCGTATTCATGGATTACAAAACTCATTATTAACTCATTCGCGGCCACTGATGTAAATTTATGTCATTCCAAATTCTGTTCCTCGCTGATCTCGGTGGCTCAGCCTGTAATCCCGCGCTTTGGGAGGCTGAAGTGAGTGGATTGCCTGAGCTCGCGGCTTCGAGACCTGCCTGGGCAACTTGGCGAGACCTCATCTGTACAATAAATCAAAAAATTAGCCGGGCGTGGTAGTGCACGCCTGTACTTCCAGTTACTTGGAAGGCTGAGGCGGAAGGATCGCCGGAGCCCAGCAGGTCGAGGCTGCGGTGGTTGGGAGTGGTCACTGCACTCCAGTCTGGGTGACAGAGTGGGACTCCAACTCAAAACAACAATAACAACAACAAAAAACAAACAACAACAAAAACCAAATTCTGTTCCTGGCTACCGCTAATGTGAATTTATATCTTTGCAAATTCTGTTTCTGAATAGTATATATTTGGTTTATAATCTGAATAAAAATACAAAGTACAGAATGCTAGTCTGAAAGGTGTATGAGACAAATACTGGATATGCCTGCAACTTTCAGCTGTATTGTGAAAACGGTGACAATTTAGAAAAGACCATTTCACTTGTGCTTAATGACAGAAGTTTGCCACAACCAGCTTCAGATTTTTTAAATTTTCACCCACAATCAGTATTAGGAAAGTGAAAAATTTGCCAGTTGCGAATGTGTTAGGATGTCAAAATTACCCAAAGCGATCTACAGATTCGATGCAATCCCTATAAAAATCCCAATGATGTTTTCTGCAGAAATAGAACAGTCTATTCTAAAATTAATATATAGAAACACAAGGGAAGCCAAATAACCAAAAGAATTTTGAAAAAGCAAAACAAAGTTCAAGGAATCACACTTTCTGATTTCAAAACTTACTACAAAGCTGCAGTAATTAAAACAGTGTGGAGGTTGGGCACAGTGGTTCATGCCTATAATCTTACTACTTTGGGAGGCTAAGGCAGGAAGACTGCTTGTGCCAAGAAGTTTGAGACCAGCCTAGGTAACATAGCAAGTCCTCATCTCTACAAAAAATTAAAAAATTTGCCAAGCATGGTGGTGCATGCTTGAAGTCTCACCTACTCAGCCAGGCTGCAGTGAGCTGATTGTGCCACTGTGCTCCAGTGGGCAACAGAGTGAGACCCCCCAACTCAAAAAGAAACCAAAAAATCAGTGTGGTAATGGCATAAGGACAGCCATATAGACCAATGGAACAAAATAAAAAGTCCAGATATAAACCCTCATATATTTGGTCAAATGATTTTCGATAAGGGTGCCAAGACCATTCAGCGGGGAAAGGCTAAGTCTTTCTGGCAAACAGTGCTGGGGAAATTGGATATCCACATGCACAAGGATGACATTTGGACCTCTTATCTAACAGTAGATACAAAAATTAATGCAAAATGGTTCAAAGACCTAAACATGAGCTAAACTTTAAAACTCTAAGAAGAAAACACAGGGAGAAGTTTCACCATCATGCATTTGGCAATGATTTCTTAGATGAGACACCAAAGTCCTGGGCAACTAAAGAAAAATAGACAAACTGGACTTCATGAAAGTTAGAAACTTCTTTACATCAAAGGACATTGACAAAAGAATAAAAAGGCAATCCAGAGAATGGGAGAATATTTGCAAGTCATATAACTAATAAGGGACTTATATCCAGAATATACGGAGAACTCTTAAGACTCAGCAACAAAAAAACAAACAAGCCTGGACAACAAAGTGAGACCCCATCTCTACCAAAAAAAAAAAAAAAAAACAAGTTGGGTGCAGGTCGTGAACCTGTAGTCCCAACTACTTGGGAGGCTGAGGTGGGAGAATTCCTTGAGCCCAGGAGTCTGAGGCTATAGTGAACTATTATAACACCAATATACTCCAGACTGGGTGATAGAGTGAGAACCTGGTCTCTTAAACAACAACAAAAAACCAGATTCAGAAATGGGCAAAGGATCTGAACAGATAGTCTCCAAAGAAGATACACAACTGGCCGATGAGCACATGAAAAGATGTTCAACATCTAATTATTAGAGAAATGTAAATCAAAACCACAATGAAATATAGTTTTATATCCATTAAGATAGCTACTATCCAGCTGAGCTCGGTGGCTCAGCCTGTAATCCCAGCACTTTGGGAGGCTGAGGTGAGTGGATTGTTTGAGCCCATGGGTTCGACACCTACCTGGGCAACTTGGCGAGACCTCATCTCTACAATTAAAAAAAAAAAAAAAAAAATTAGCCAGGCATGGTAGCAGTGCCTGTAATTCTGGCTACTTGGAAAGCTGAGGCGGAAGGATCTCTGGAGTCCAGCAGGTCGAGGCTACGGTGGCCAGGAGCGTGCCACTGCACTCCAGTCTGGGTGATGGAGTGAGACTAAAACTCAAAAAAAAAAAAGATAAAGATAGCTACTATCCAAAAAACCCAGAAACTAGTAAGTAATGATGAGGATACATAGTTGTTGGAATGCTTGTGCACTGTTGGTGGGATGTAAAATGGTACAGCTGCTGTGGACAAGTTAGACAGTTCCTCAAAAAATAAAAAATAGCATTACCATATGGTCCAGCAATTCCATTTCTGGGTATAAACCCAAAAGAAATGAAAGCAAGAACTCGAGACATTTGTAAACCCATATTCATAGCAGCATCATTCACAAGCTAAAACATGGAAGCAACTAAGTGCCCATTGACAGATGAATGAACAAGCAAAATACATATAATGGAATATTATCCATCTCAGGTAATCCTCTCGCCTCCACCTCCCAAAGTGCTGGGATTATAGGCATGAGCTACTGTGCCCAGCTGATTTTCAGTTTTTCAAGATGAAAAGAGTTCTGGATGATGGTGATGGTTGCACAACAATGTGAATATACTTAATGCACTGAACTGTACACTTAAAATGGTAATATGGTAAATTTTATGTTGTATATTTGACCACAATAAAAAAAAACCTGGGGGAAAAAACCAAACAAGGTTTTTTTTTGAGTTGGAGTTTCACTCTGTCGCCCAGACTGGAGTGCAGTGGCACGCTCCCGGCCACCGCAGCCTCGACCTGCTGGGCTCCGGCGATCCTTCCACCTCAGCCTTCCAAGTAGCTGCAACTACAGGCGTGTGCTACTGTGCCCAGCTGATTTTTTGATTTATTTTGTAGAGATGAGGTCTCGCCAAGTTGCCCAGGTGGGTCTCAAACCCACGGGCTCAGGTAATCCACTCACCTCAGCCTCCCAAAGCACGGGATTACCGGCTGAGCCACCGAGCCCGGCTTTTTTTTGTCTTTGACAAAAGACTAAAGGGGGCTTGGCGGCTGTGAGGATGAGGACGTTCTGGCCCCATGAGCCCAGGGGAAGTGCAGGTGGTTAAAAAAGCCATCAGAGCTCCACTGTCCATGTGGAAATCTCAGTGCTACAGGCCTTGGTTCACACAAGTGCAGCTGGCATGATACTTGGCAGGTTCTAATCTTCAGTGTCTTTTCCTCTGTCCCTAAGGACTTGCCTGGGGCTGAGCCTCTTAGCTCACCTGCTGGAGGAGACCACAGGCAATCTCACACTCACTTAACACAGTCCCAGGGGCATGTGCAGGTGACAGGCAGCAGCCCCTATGCTGCATGTGAGACATGTCATTTGACCAACTTGCATGTAAGCCGCAACTTTCCACATCTGGTATCACAAGGTCTTTGCCCCACAACAAAAATGTGGCAAGAGCCAGTGAGATTCTCAAATATCAGCCCTGCAAGCCCCACAGATCAGATGCAAAGAAGCCCCAGTCCTACCATTCCCAAGGAAACGCCCATCTTCCTCACACCCACCTGGAAGCATCTCGTCAAAGCTGGTTCTGGCCTCAGGGTGGCGCAGCAGAGATTTGGGAGTGAAGATAATTAACTGAAATACAGAACAGGCTCATGATGGACCAGGTTCTAAAGAGTTCAGAAGGAAGGTCTAAAGCACGGAACTGTCCAAGCCACGCAACATGATGACCCGCCATCCCAGCTCTCTCAACAGGAGCCTCAAGTCAGAAGAGGCAGAGGAGGAAAAAAGGAAAAGATGACCGGGATCTCTGCTCTTCATTTCCCCTCAGCCAGATGTCCACTCCCTGCAGAGCCCATCCCAGCTTGCACTGAGCCCTGGTACCCCACCCTCCACCTCCCTGTACCCAGGGAAGAGCCCTGAGCCTCTCCTTGGCAGTCCAGGGCAAATGCACCCACAGCTCATCTGAGGCTGTGACAAGGCTCAGCACCAAGTAGCATGAAGGCTGTCCTGTCCTGTGGGCCCTCGGGCTGCTGGGGTACACAGAGCTGTGAGCCTCAGCCCTGCACCCCCACCCCTGCAGTGTCCTGGGGCAGCAGGGCACTGGACCTTTCCTGGACACTTCTTCCTTCTAGAGCACTCCTACTTATCCTCCACCCAACTTCTACTTCAACCCTCAGTTCGGGGGCCCCTCCTGGGCTCTGCTTCTTCCACTCCCTTGGTCCTGCAAGGGCTCACCTCTCTTCTAGAGCTCAGCATACCCCCTATGACCACCTAGTCAAACGTCCATTGTCTCCACTGGGCTGTGGCCTGCAGCTGTGTCTCACCACTCTGCATGTGGTGTTCAGCAGCATGCAGGGGCCCAGCTCGGGAAAAAGTACATGCAGTTCCCTGGTGGCAGCAGTGGGAGGAGCTCCCTGATGCCACAAGGTATCCACACTCCCCTTACAGGTGCCACCTGGCCACCCCCAAGCAAGAGGCGCTCAGAGTAGCCTTTTCCTGCCCCAACAGAGCAGGGTCAGGCCTAGTTTGAGCATGGAAGTCCCCCCCACTGACCGGCTTCCGGAAGGGCAGCAGGATCTGGCGTCGTAGCACATGGAAGAAGTTGCCAGGGCTGGAGCAGTTGACAACAACCCAGTTGCAGTCATAGAGCTGATTGATATCGAAGTTGGCTTCCGTAAGGTCCTGCAGCAAGGAAGCGGCCAGAGGCCAGGCGGCAGCACTGAGCGTTCTGGGCATCTAGGGGCAGAGGGGCCTCAGGAGGCACCACAGCCCCACCCTCACTGCCTGACTCACTTGGTGGCGGGGCGGACACTAACGAGAGCAAGTTCAGCAGGCTCAGCCAGCCAGCCTCACACCATGGAGGAGAGTCTCAGGCTCACTTACTCCCTCCTGTTTCTCTGAAAGCTACTACCTAGTGTGAAACAGATAACTACTTCAAGAGACACTGGTCTACCTAAAATCACTTCTAATCTTCCTTAGAAACTGACTCCTAATAGTTCTGAGTTCTTAAAGTTTCATTAAAATCACCCCAAAGTTTTCTCCTCTTAAGTGTTTGTCTGAATTGGAGTCCAGGCAGCATCTCACCAGGAGTTCACACTGAGGTGCTCAAACAGGTGATCCTGTGCTTTCAGCAACAGTGGGAAGCAAATGGAAGGAGCCTCTGCACTGTCTTCTGTGCTTTAAGGAGGCTCTCATCTCAGGGAGACTGGCAGGCATGGGGCATGCTTATCTACCCGCTTGAGCTCCCAAGAGAGAGGAAGGCACAGAGCCAAGGTCTGCCTAACACCTCTGGACGTCCAGATGAAATGTTCCTCCCCAGGATCCCTGCCAGATGCCCCGAGGGCAGCCGGCTTGGCAGGGCCTGTTCTACTCACCGGCAGGACATCGGGGTCATCATTGCACATCTGCAAAAACCGCTCTGGGCGGGCGGAGGAATGTTCTGGACCCTGGAACCAGACATACAAATTATAGTTTGGGAGCCCTCGCATGCCGATATCTGCTGTTCTTCTTCCTTAACCAGCCTGCTCATTTCTTGTTATCTTTTTCCTGTGGCAGGGTTCAATTTCTTCCCCCTCCCACCAGCAAAGCAACCGGCATATTTCCATACCTGAGTTTTAAAAGTATGTCACACCTGTGAGATGGGACAGCCCCAAACAGGGTGTTAGGGGGTGTGAGGCAGCCGAGCAGGCTGAACTGCTGGCAGCAGGTGGCGAGTGTCCTGTGGACACCTGTGCATCTAGGCAGTCGACCACGAGGACCACCAGTTTCTCACCCAGAATAGGGAAGGGACAGGGCATGCTGGCTGCATCCAGATGGGCCATTCTGGCCTTCCAAAGTGACATTCCCAGCTAAGACAGGTGGCAAGCACTGGCAGAGCCCTCAAAAGGATATGTGAGCTGCTGGCTCTCGTGCCAGTCTTTGGGGTTGGGATCCTTAGTGGGCCCTTCCCAAGACCTAAGTCTGGTGGGGAAGGGCCAAGGGCTCACCATGCCCTCCATGCCATGGGGCAGCAGCAGCACGATGCCGTTCTGCCGCACCCATTTGGCTTGTCCTGGGCAGATGAACTGGTCGATGATGCACTGGGCCGTGTTGTGGAAGTCACCAAACTGTGCTTCCCAGAGGACCAGGGCGTTAGGACTGGCCATGGCGAAGCCCAACTCAAAGCCTACAAAGGATGAAGGAAGGAGAAAACCATGTCCAGGACACCAGCCGGCAAGTAAGGGTGACTAGGTGGGCGAGGGGGGCCGCTGGGGAGGGGCACCTGGTGGCACGGGCTCTGGGCACTCACCAAGCACACCATACTCAGACAGTGAACTGTTGCACACAGTGTAGGGGGCCTGATTGGGCCAAAGGTGGTTCATGGGGATACAGGTTCTCTTGTCCACATTCTGGTCATGGAGCACATGGTGGCGGTGGCTGAAGCAGGACAACAGAGCAAATAACCAAGAGTTCTGACCTGACAAGCTTATGAGCCGAAACGCACACAAAGCGCCACTGATCCCACACACTGTGACCTGGACTGCCCAGTTCTTAACAGAAGCACCAGCAAACCAGGGATGGGGGCTTTTAGGCTGGGACAAATGGAACTCAGTAACTGTCTTCTGGAAAATACATGCCAGAGTCCCTCCCTTGTCATTTCCTACTCTGAAGGGCAAACACAGCTGCCCTGAATGCTACCTGAATGTGCCCCGCTCCACGTCCTGGCCGCTCAGCCGGATGTGGATACCCTCCTTCAGGAGCGAGCCGAATGCCATGTACTCTGCAAGAGCCCAGTCCACAGTTCGGTTCTTCACCATTTCCCCACGAGTTTTCAAGATCCGGCTCAGCCCTGCAGAGACACAGGTCTCACCAACTACTGCAGGCCCAGGCCTGCAGGTGGCCTTCCACTTCTCAGCGCGCCAATGGGAAGAGCAGTGCCTTCTTCACCCGTAGCTTCTGTGTTCCTAATTTGCTGGAAACACTGTGACCTGTTTTTCCTTAACTACTGGGCAAGCACAGGACCATGATGAGGGCATTGGGTGAGAGGCAGCCCGACCCAACCACCCCACAGGCCTTTAGCAAGGCAGGGAGGGAGCATCTGCGGGATACGTGATGGGGGTCAAAGCCAGTCCTAGAGAGTTGTTGCCACTGGCCTGGGCCCCAGTATTTTCACAGGTCAGCACAGAGCTTGTTACCTCCATGAATGGTAAAGTTCTCCACGGGCACGGAGCTGGCCACGTTTCCAATGTGTGTCAGAATATCCTCTGTCAGACCCGTGGAAGGGCAGGACATGCTCCGGGGCTGCCCGTCCAGGGTGAAGAAGCCTAGGAAGGGAAGGACAACTGAGGCATAGCACCTACCCCACTTTTGCAGGGACAAAACTGTGGCCAACATGTGGCTGTGGGGAGAACCAGAGTGAGAGATAGCGCAGCCCAGACTGTGGTCCCCAGAAAGTACTAATCCAGAGGTCGGAGTCCAGGGTCCACAAGGGGCTTTGCTGCAATAGTGCATACAGTTGTGTGTTGTGGGGACAAAGCAGGGAGCATGAGTTCTGGGGAGAAGATTCACGGTTACGTCAGGTGCACAAATGGGTTTATTTATGGCATTGTTTCCTCACTTACCAGGCCATGGAGAGTCAAGCCAGTGCTTGATGTGCAAGATCTTCTCATCTTTGGATCTGGCAAAAGCTTCCTCACAGATCTTGTCATACTTGGAGATTTCCTCCTGGAGGGTTGGGTCCAACATGGCAGTCACTGGCACAGGGCACAACACGGTGCATGCCACTGGCACTCCTGCACTTTCTGGATAACCACTATGGACCCTCAATGACATCCCTGGTACAAGCACCATGCATGGCCACCCACAGCTCCTGGGAACTACTGTGCATACTCACTGGCACCCCTGCACTGAGTACAAACATCTCAAGCTCCATCAGCCCCCAGTCTTATTTCTCCCCACCACGCAAAGCCCTCCCCTCCCCTTCCCTCCCTTCCTTCCCTTTCTCTCTCTTCTCTTTCTTTTTTTAAGACAGAGGCTCACTCTGTTGCCCAGGCTGAAGTGCTGTGGCATGATCATAGCTCACCATAGCCTTGACCTCCTGGAGTCAGGTGATCCTCCTGCTTCAGCCTCCCAAGTAGCTGGGACTATAGGTATGTGCCACCATACCCAGCTCATTTTTTTTTAATTTTTAATTTTTTAAAATTCAGAGTCTCACTCTGTTGTCCAGGTTGGAGTGCAGTGGCATGATCACAGCTACCGCAGCCTCAACCTGCTGGGCTCAGGCAATCCTTCTGCCTCAGCCTTCCAAGTAGCTGAAATTACAGGCATGCGCCACAATGTCCAGCTAATTTTTTAATTTATTGTAGAGACAAGGTCTCACCAAGTTGCCCTTGAATCCCTGGGCTCAGGCAATCCTTTTGCCTCAGCCTCCCAAAGTGCTAGGATTATATGCATGAGCTATTGAATCTGGTCTAATTATTTTTTTGTGTGAAAACGAGGTCTCATCATGATGCCCAAGTTGGTTGTGAACTCCTGGGCTTAAGGGATCCTCCCAACTCGGCCTCCCAAAGTGCTGGGATTACAGGTATAAGCCATCCAGCCCGGCCACACAGCACTTCTAAGATTTGTAAGAAGTCGAAGTCTACAATATTTTACTCTTCTCACTCTTAACAGCTTCTTTTCCACTTCCGGTGGGTGGAGATGCTACATGGTATCTGACACCCTGCCCCCCACCATATTCTTTCTTAAGAACTAGTTTGGTTCTCACAGTTCCTAGCACAGTCCCGAGGACAACTGGGCCCCAAGCTCCATCTCCAGCAGTTGTCCAGATCTGGGTCTTTCCTGTTCTTGTGCTTCAGACCCAGTTCCTTATGTCCACCCACTCCCCTCTCCCTCTTGGAGCACCTGCTTGGGGTTTCCCACTCACAAACAACCAGCATTTACCAGTCCATTCACTGAACTGGACCCACCATCTACCTCTCACCCTTGCACAATGTATGAAATCTGAGTGGGCTGCCATTACCTCATCTCTAAAACACGTCTTTCTCCTCCTCAAAACACTACATAAGGTCCAACTCCTTTACAAAGCATCTCAGTGGTCCAGATCCTCCAAAAGGTTACACAATGACATGCTGTTACTGCGAATATTTCACTTGCTTCCATTTGGGTCCTCATAACGCTGCGAAAGCAAGACCCGGCCCTGTGGCCAACCTTTTCTAGTCCTCTCAGCTCTAGGAAGGACAGCTGGGATAGAACTGCAGAGACGCACCTCATACTCGGGCTGGTTGACCACGCCCTGCGACACCAGCAGCTCAGCATACTTCTGCAGCACAGGCTTCTGCTTGCGGATCTGCTTGTACATGAGGGGCTGTGTGAACATGGGCTCATCCATCTCGTTGTGGCCGTTGCGCCGGTAACACACCTGGTCAGGGCAGCGAGAGAAGATGTCAGAGGCGATAGTTGTCCCGGCAGGAAGGTGTGCTGTTGGGGCACTTGCTTCATTCCCCCAAGTGATGCCTCATGCCTGCTCTGCCTCAGTTTACCTTCTCTAGAATTAGAATCCTGTCTCTATCTCTCCTTCACACAGTAGAGTTGCTTTGACTATTAAACGAGATACAGTGAAAGTGATGTGTGAATACAAACTCTTTATTCACAAAGCAGTCCCATGACAGCCCTAGATGAGCTCAGGAGTGGCCCTCTTCACCACCACAGCTCCTGCCTGGGGATCATTTCCTCATAGGCCTGAACACACCAAAGCTAAAAGAAACCCACACTAGGCCCCGCAGTAGACAGCCCTGAGGTGACTTATCAAGACAAGTTCCTGTCCTTGGGACCTGCCGAAGACAAGAGGGGAGGGCCAGATGCTCTGTCCCGGACACATTGTCCCTGGAGTCACTCACCAAATCGACAACTACGTCCTTGTGGAAGGTGCTCCTCCACTCGGCTGCTACCTTGCACACGTACATGACAGCCTCAGGGTCATCAGAGTTCACGTGAAAGATGGGGGCGTTCACCACGCGAGCCACGTCGGTGGGGTACGGGGAGGACCGGGCCATCCGTGGGTCTGTGGTGAAGCCAATCTGCAAGGAACACACAGCCTGGCAAGAGGGCACCTGGCATGGCAGTACAGGGAGGGCAGTGGAAAAGGTCGGGTATGGCCTGCGCCTGCCACTTGGCTTCTCTGAGAAAGTACCCCAAACATTTCTGTTTACATTTCTTAAGTACATTCCTTTCCAGATTATTTTCTTTTTACACATATATATAAGAAGGGGACCCAAAAAAACTGGAATTATCTTTTGGAGGATGGGCCCCTTGTAGTACACTCAGAATTTGTTCCTCCAGATCAGTCAACTAAAGTTTTTATCTGGAAGTTTTGAGAAGGCTGTGACACAATTTGCAGCAGAAATGCCCTGAGTTGTGGCAAACAGGTGCTTGGTTCTTCCACCATGACAACATACCTGCCTACACTGCGTGGAGTGTCCAGCACTTTTTGACTAAAAATGGCATGAGCACTGTGCCCCACCCTCCCTGTTCACCCGATCTTACCCCAAGTGCCTTTTTTTGGTTTCCCTGAAGAAAAAAGTCCTTGAAGGGAAACATTCTGCCTATGTGGAAGAGGTGAAACAAAAAAAAGACAGAAGCACTAAAAGGCATCAAAATACATGAGTTCAAAAACTGAGCAGTAGAAAAAGCATCTTGAGCTGGGCTTGGTTCAAGTGGTTCGAGACCCACCTGGGCAGGCGAGACCTCATCTCTACAATAAATCAAAAATGAGCCGGGCGTGGTAGCACACGCCTGTAGTTCCAGCTACTTGGAAGGCTGAGCGGAAGGATCACTGGAGCCCGGCAGGTCGAGGCTGTGGTGGCCGGGAGCGGCCACTGCACTTCAGTCTGGGTGACAGAGTGAGACGCCAATTCAAAAAAAAAAAAAAAGAAAAAGCATCTTGATAGGTATATTGCATCAAACAGAGTACTTTGAAGGTGACTGAGGTTTACACATGTAAATTCTAGGGCACAGTTTTCACACCTATAATCCCAGCACTTTGGGAGGCCAAGGCGAGAGGACTGCCTGAGCCCACGGGTTCGAGCAGACTAGCCTGGGCAACTTGACAAGACCTCATCTCTACAATAAATCAAGAAAAATTAGCTGGGCATGGTGGCACATGCCTGTAGTTCCAGCTACTTGGAAGGCTGAGGCGGAAGGGTTGCCTGAGCCCAGCAGGTCAAGGCTGTGGTGACTGTGAACGTGCCACTGCCCTCCAGCCTGGGCAACAGAGTGAGACTCCAACTCAAAATAAATAAAAAAGTGAATGAACGAATGAATGAATGAATAAATAAATAAATTCTGGATTTTTCTGGGTCCCCCTTTGTATGTAAATAAATAAATAAGTACATTTTGGGACCTTATTATTTCTATAATTTTGTACTTTATTCATTTAACATCATGAACATTTTTCTTTGAAAAGAAAATTTAAGGGCTTCATAACATAACTCTCCTTGCCACTTGGATGTACTATAATTTAATTATTTATTAATAATTTTATAGCTTGCATTTAAAGTTTATTTTATGAAATATTTCAAACATAAAGCATCATAATGTTATACTGTTCACATGTTGGGCCATTACCCACCATGAATAAATCTGAAGAGTTTTGCCATATTGTTTCTGATTCTTTCTTATTACACATTTCTGCCACAGCTAAAGTGTAGTGTTCAGCCTCATGCAATTTGTATTATCTATTATCTACTGTTGATGGACATTCAGGTTGTTTCCAATTAGTGGTTAACAATATGGCACTATACACATGCTTATATAGGTTTTAACAGGAATTATGGCTGAAACAAATACAGAAATAGAAAGTCTCAGCAAAGAAATAGAAGATATAAAAAAACAGAACTAGGGTCAGGCTCGGTGGCTCAGCCTATGATCCCAGCACTTTGGGAGGCCGAGGCGAGTGGATTGCCTAAGCCTGCGGGTTTGAGACCAGCCTGGGCAACTTGGCAAGACCTGTCTCTACAATAAATGAAAAATTAGCCAGGCATGGTAGCATGTACCTAAAATTCCGGCTACTTGGAAGGCTGAGGGAGGGATCGCCTGAGCCCAGAGGGTCAACGCTGGGGTGGCTGTGAGCAGGCCATGGCACTCTAGCCTGGGTGATGGAGTAAGACTCCAACTCAAAAACAAAAAAACAGAAAAAAAAACAACTAAATTAATATTTGAGAATAGAAAAACTAAAAAGAACTGGGGGGAGAAGATAAACTCAATTGAAGGTATTCTACAGCAGCATGGAGGGGAGAGATAAAAGAATTAGAACATAGAATAATAGAAAAGTCCCATTCTGAACACCAAAGATAAAACAGACTAAAAAAGCAAAAATGAACTGAGCCTCAGGGCCTTGAGGGACTACAACAAAAGACCTAACATTCCTGTCACTAGAGTCCTAGAAGTAGGAGATAAAAAGTGTTTATACAGTGAAATATTATGCAGGAATGGAAGAAATCTTGACCCATGCTGCAACATGGATGGAATTTGAGGAAACTCTGCTCAATGAAATAAGCCAAGTATAAAAAGACAAATACTATACAATTCTACTTATATGAGGTTCCTAGAGTAGGCAAAATCATAGAGACAGAAAGCCAAGTGGTGGTGCCGGGGGCTGTGGACCGGAAATGGGGAGTTAGTGCTGAATGGGTATGGAGTATTTGTTTGGGATGATGAAAAATTTCCAGAAATGGACAACATTAAGAATGTATTTACTATCACTGAACTGCATACTTAAAAACTGTTAAGACAGTAAATTTTGTGTACATTTTCCCCACAATTAAAAAAATTAGAAAACCAAAACCAAAACCAAAAACCCCAAAACAATAGTTCAGTAGGGGGATTGTTTGGTTTTTAGGCTTTTCTTTTTCCTTAGTATTGTTTCAAGTCTCCCTAATACCATTCTTTGAAGGAAAGCAGATTAAATGCTGACTCTTATTTACTTCAAGCAAGCTATTCAATCTCTCTGCTCCTCAATTTTGTCTATAAAATGAGACTAATACCACTGCATGGGTAACAACACTACAAATTAATGCATATGAAATGCCTAACGATGTTTGGCACAAAGTAGGCACTTAGTAAATGGTAGCTTTTTACCATATTATATGCATATTGGATAATGTTCTTTCCCACTTTAATATCTGGCCTTTCAAACTTTGAGCTATTCTTTACAAATTTTCTGAATTGCATTTTTTACACAGAATACTAACATTGTTTAATATACACTTTCTCATTTGTCATTTTGGAACTCCTTTATTGAAAAAATAATTCTTGGTTGGGCTCGGTGGCTCAGCCTTAATCCCAGCACTTTGAGAGGCCGAGACGAATGGATCGCCTGGGTCTTTGGGATCAAGATCAGCCTGGACAGCTTTGCGAGATCTCATCTCTACAATAAATAAAAAATTAGCTGGGTATGGTAGCACACGCCTGTAGTTCTGGCTACTTGGAAGGCTGAGACAGAAGGATCACCAGAGCCTAGCAAGTCGATGCTGGAGTGGCTGTGAGTGTGCCACTGCACTCCAGTTTGGGCGACGGAGTGAGACTCCAACTCAAAAAAAAAGAGAAAGATAATGTCTGATGATAAACAGAAGGACCTCCATATTGAATACGTTCTTCTTGAGACACAAATTTACTTCTGTATTTCTAAGGTAATGTGTTTTTATTGTTTCTGAGTGTCTGGTGGGCCCTGATCAGCACATCTGATGATTTACTTCCTTTAGAATGCTGTGAAATTGCAGAAGAGTGAGATGGTATCCCTGCTGATTTCAAAGCTTCTGATATACTGGGTTTAGGATTGTCTCTTCTGCCAGGGAACCTTGTGAATGGAGTGTGTGGCATGACAACCTGAATAACCTTGCTCTCAGATGCCACCTTGCTACGTATCATGATCCCAAATTTTGGGGTCTTTAATGTTTACTGCATAGTGACCACATTTACTTATTTCACTTTAACGTTTTCTCGGCTCTCTCATTACTTCTTGCTGAGCAGCTGCATGTTTCTCTGTCCTCCACAAATCTATCCTGCATGTAGCAACAAATCATCTTTAAAACCAGTATCTTGTCACTTCCTTGTGTCAGTCCCTGCAGTGACTTCTCAATGCAACGGGACTGGAGCTTCCCTCAGGAGCTGGCTGATGGCAGTCCTCTCCTGCACTAGCCATTAGCTGTGATGACCTTGTCCACTCCCTTGTATGCTAGGACCTCTTTCCTGGCTTGATCTACTGCTCCTCAACATTTGCCTACTTGACCTTTAAGACCACTTAAAACGTCAAATTCTCAGAGAATCATTGCTGACTAACCTACTATCTTTGTAGCCCACCTCCCACATTCCCTTTCTTCATGGCACTGTGTATAGCACTCACTAAACTGTAAGCTCTAAGATGATGGGAACATGCCCTTGCTCTGCTTGGTACCTAGTATAGTGCCCATAGATAAAAGGCACTAGAATATTTTTATAGAAACTTCACAGCCGGGCTCGGTGGCTCAGCCTGTAATTCCGCGCTTTGGGAGGCTGAGGTGAGTGGATTGCCTGAGCCTGTGTGTTCGAAACCTGCCTGGGCAACTTGGCGAGACCTCATCTCTACAATAAATAAAAAAAATTAGCCAGGCGTGGTAGCACGCGCCTGTAGTTCCAGCTACTTGGAGGGCTGAGGCAGAAGGATCGCCAGAGCCCAGCAGGTCGAGGCTGCAGTGGCTGGGAGTGGCCACTGCACTCCAGTCTGAGCGACAGAGTGAGACTCCAACTCAAAAAAAAAAAAACAAAACAAAGAAACTTCACATGAGTTGATGGGATGCACTCTCATAGATGGCTGGTAGGAGGACACACAGGTACAACAGGTGATACATATCAAGGTTGGGCAGAAGTACTTACAAGGATGTTCAGCACAAATTACAGAAAACAATGAAAAAAAAAAAGAATCCAAAAGTCTATTTTTTGAAATCATCTATAAGGGATATTTTCATTAAAATTATTTTAAGAGTATATAATGACATAAGCAAATGGGGTAAATAAGAATGGGTATAAAGCTATGTATACAGAATTCAGTTTTTTAAAAAAAGTAAACAGCCATCTGTAAGCCTGCAGGTCTAGAAGAAAATATGCTAAAACAGTTAACACCATGTCAAATAATGTGATTAAAATCTCTTCACTTACAAAATAAAGTTTTCTGTGTTGTCCAAGTTTTTAATAACAGACATATTTTTATAATCATAAAACAATGACTACCCTGACTCAGAGATGTCATCCTAAGTAAAACTGATGCACGTGGAGACCCTTTAGGTTGGTGTGCGGTACCTGGTTGTTGACAACTACGTGCACAGTGCCGTGAGTTGTGTAGGATGGCAGGTCGCTGAGGTGGAAGGTCTCGTACACGATGCCCTGGCCAGCAAATGCAGCGTCCCCGTGCAACAGGATGGACATAACCTGCAAGCACCCAAGAAGACTGCCAATTCAATACATCCTAATCGACAAATCCACAAGGCAAACAAAGGAAATGAGTCATCCTTGTTTTTTAAAAAATAATCTGTTTTGAGATATTTCAAACACAGAAAGGGCAGAGAGTACATAGGACCTCAAGCTCCCAACCTACTAGCGCACCCAGTGTGTCTGCCCCATACCCTCACACCTCCCCATCCTGCCACCCCCGTCTGTCCTGAGCACAGGGAAAGCTGCAGACCCCAAGCCCTGGTAGGACGCTCTGATACACTCTCCTAGAGAGCAGGACTAGCTCAGTCAACTACTCCAGGTGACACATGGAATGGGCGGCATCAGTTGTCACGCCTCTTCAGCCCTTCAACCTGGAGCAGCTCCTTGTCCTTCCCATCTTAGTGCACCCTTGACAGGGCTTGGGTACCCACTTGGGAAGGATGCACTGCCTCAGGTTAGGTTAATGGTGGTCATCTGGACAGGCTGCTGTCTGCCCTTCTCCCTTTAACTTCTGATTTCTCCTTGGTGGTGAACACAGTAGCAGTATTTTGTGAGGAGAAAATTTATATCCTGTTCTTCTCAAGCCTGCACCCCAGCCTCAGCAGCACTGACAACTCCTCTCGGGTGGCTGACGAACAGCAGATGCTGATTTCTGTTACTCCCACATTTGTCAGATGGCAAGCCCTGCAAGGAAGAGGTTTCTCTTCTCCGTTTAGTTATTTGTATTACTATGTACTCACAGTTCCTACTTTATTCGAAAGGTTGTATGTAATTTGTCAACACTGTTAGTCATTTTGATGCTCATGTTGCTCCAGATTGGCATGGGAACTCCTCCAGCTGCCTCCCTGTCCCATGGACAGGTTCCCATCATTCACGAGTACTTCCTTGCTTTCTGGCACAACAGGGCATCGTAGCCTCATATTGTGCCCTACCCAGTCCTAGAATTAGCTGTTTCTCTAAGAAGCTTGATTCCTCCATTTAAGGTCAATATTTGTGGGCTCATTGGTACTAGGATATTATCACATCAAGGTCCATATCATCATTCAAGGTCAGTATAGAGCTAGAAAATATACGTGTGCGCACACACGGAGGGCTATTTCTGTGTATCTGTGTGTGCGTTAAAAAAAAGCTGTGAGTTTATACCAACACCCCTAAATTCCAATCCAACATTTTTCCCAAGCCTATAAATATTTCCTACGGTTGCGAGACACTTGTTCCGACTTCCTTCAACATGTTTACCTATTTGCTTGGTGTCGCCAAAGCCCCAACCATGCAAGACCACTATTTCTACTCCTTGGATACGCAGGCTATGTCTCTCTAAACCCCTGTATTAGTCAGGGTTCTCTAGAGAGACAGAACCAATAGGATGGGGAGAGAAAGGAGAGACAGAATGACTTTTAAGGCCCTGGGCTAGTTCAAACTCTGCAGGGCAGGTTGGCAAGCTGGCAGGCTAGAGGCCGTGGGAGGAGGTGATATTGCAGCTTGAGTCTGAAGGCCATCTGGAGACAATTCCTTCTTCTTTGGGCACCTCAGTCTTTTTCTGAAGGCCTTAAACTGATCAGATGGGACCCACCCACACTTTGGTGAGTCATCTGCTTTACTCAAAGTCCACTGGCTTAAATGCTAATCTTATCTTTAAAAAAATGCATCAACAGCAACATCCAGAAGGGTGTTTGTCCAAACAAGTGGGCACTGTGGGCAGTCAAGCTGACATATAATATTATTAGCCCTCACACCCTCTCATGCTGTGTCCTTGGCCTATGGGCCTGCTGACCTGGGCCTCCCTGAGTCCCTGTCACCGCCCCAGTCCTCAGCACTGTGCTGAGTCCTCCTTGTCAGGAAGGGAAGGTTCATGATTTGCTTGACAGGGACAAGAATCTAGAATGAAAAAAAAAATTTTTTTTGAGTTGGAGTCTTATTCTGTCACCCAGGCTGGAGGGCAGTGACATGCTCCTGGCCACTGCAGCTTTGACCAGCTGGGCTCAGGTGATCCTTTTGCCTCAGTCTTCCAAGTACCTGTAACTACAGGCACGTGCTACCATGCCAGGCTATTTTAAAAAAAAATTTATTGTAGAGATGAGGTCTCGCCAAGTTGCCCAGGCTGGTCTTGAACCCGTGGGCTCAGGCAATCCTCTCACCTCAACCTTCCAAAGTGCTGGGATTATAGGCATGAGCCACCGCACCCAGCTAGAATTAAAAAATTTTAACACAGAACTGCCCATGTCCTGCTTTTTGGTAAATGTGGCAGATGTTCACCAAGATAATAGGACAGGGACAAAAGTGTATAATTTGCTCAGGAAGCCCTCTGGAGGGGTGCATAGCTTTGCCACAATGCCCAGGCTGGTTGCCTTGTTGAGTATAAAATGCATTGGTTTTAAGTCACTGACATTTCATTTTTTGCTGATGCCCACATTGTGTCATTTCTTCCCACAGATACTTTCTGGATGATCTCAGTTGACTTCTGCTGACAGGGCACCTAGGGTTAGTCTTCCTTTCATATTTTTCTTGACCTTCTGATGATGTTATAACGTGACTGCACAGTGGTAACTGACTACTGAAATCACCCCAAGCACATGTCGGGGCTCTCCTTGTATCTGGAAACCTGACCTGCACCTCAGGCAAGAGCAGGTTCTCCCCTTGCTGTAGGATGCACTGCTGCACTGAGGAAATGCTTTCACAAATATCCTTCCCAAGGGCCATCTTAGCACTGAGTCAAATCGGGTTAGTTTCACAATCATGCACAAGGTTATGGGATGACCTCGGCTGCATTTATATAAAGAATGTAATTTTTCATGGATGCCAAGTTATGTAACACACACACTAGCTCCCCGAATTCTGGATTTAATGGAAATCAAACCATTCCCTAGGGGTGTCAGAGGAGAAGCAAGGAGAACAGACAGCGGGCTGAGCCTGTACTGACCCCGCTAAGGACACATGAAGGCTTGAGGCAAGGTAAGGAGGCCACTCAAAAAGAGGGACTGGTGGCTATCCACACTGGGGCAAGGGCAAATGTGTAACAACATGGTATTTGTGGAAGGAAAACAAAGGGACATGCAGATTTGCAACCAAACAGGCTAGCTAGCCTTTCTTGTCCTGGTACCTTACAAAAGGATCAAATAGTGTGACCACTTGTAGTGTGGTTTTTTTTCACACTTAAGTCTCACTCTGTCACCCAGGCTAGAGTACAGTCACATGCTCACAGCCACTGCAGCCTCAACCTGCTGGGCTCAGGTGCTCCTTTCACCTCAACCTTCCAAATAGCTGGAACAACAGGTGCGAACCACCACACCTAGCAAATTTTTTGATTTATTGTAGAGACGAGGTCTTGCCAAGTAGCCCAGACGGGTAATCAAATCTCAGGGCTCAGGCAACTCCGCCTCTCAAAGTGCTGGGATTACAGGTGTGAGCCACCGCACTCAGTTCTTGCAGCAGTTTTAAATACTCTCTATTTCCTTTTCTCTAATTATTTCATTCTTTTTAGGGAAATTTCTAACATTCTGTGTGAGTAATGCTCAAGTGGATTTTTGCCCACAATTTATGAATGCAGAGGTCCCAAGTTTTCTGCCATCTTGTTACTTGTTACTACTCAGACCCAAATGCCCATTACAAGGACACTGTGGTCACTCCAATGCTGGTCTCCCCCTGCCAACTCTCCTTGACCAGCCCCTCCCAGGCACCCAGTGTTGTTACTGGCTGCAGGGGCTGCACATCCCCCCAGCAAAGTCAAGGCCTCTTTGCATCTTCCTGGAGTTTTTTTTGGCACTGTCTTAGCTCTTGAGTTTGAAACAGTAAAGAATCTGTGTGTCTGTATGGATCACACTCATTCTTTACAGCAATGCAGGGATCACTTCCTGCTCTCAATGCACTCCAGCCTGGACTTCATGACCTGTGACAGTGGTTTCCCTTCCTCTAACCCTCTAAGCACAACACTATAGGTTTACAGTATTTTAACAAAACCCAGTAAACTAATCATTGGTTGTACCTCTATAAAAGACCTGATCTCTTTCCAGGGCACACTTGGGAGGCTGGCCCCTCCCTGGTCTGTCTCCCCCAATCCACTCTCCAACTTTGCTCCTACTTTTCACCTCCAGAAAAAGTTCTTTCCTTCCCACTCCTAAGTCCTGCCATTTTTTGCCAATTAGATATGATGGCTACCTGCTCTGCTCTTCTGAAGCTCTTCACGGTATGCCTCTTCTGAGGCTCTTCACGGTAAACTCTGTAGCTTCCCCAGAACACACACAGGAGACAACATAAGTATCTGTTTTTTTCTGATTAGTTGGTTTTGGGGTAATCATTAAGGAATAAGAACTGTATAATCTGTTACAGACTGAAGTCTACCTTGAGGTTAAATGAGGACAAATGGTTATAAACTGTTATGTACCAACACTCAACATTCACATGACGAGAGGTGGCAAGGCTGGACCCCACCCACACCCAGAGCCAGTGTCCTCCCTCTCTTCATGGCCCCTGAACTCATGCCCCGGATCAAGCCCATCTCTCCTTACATCTCTCAGTTCTACAATTTCTCCTTCAGGCCTACCCACATTTTCTCCTCAAAGACTCTCCTCCTTTTCAGTGAAATTACTTCTTTGTCCATCAATGGTAACTACAAATCTGTTTCTGGACAGACGTGGTAAAGATAAAGCATGTTCTGGTGAGTATAACTTTAGGGAAGAGGCATGTATGTAAGTGGGACTATTTTACCATTGCTACTCTTTTAAAGTTGGTTTAGAATATTTTATAAACTCCAGAAGCATGATGTCTCAGATGTACCCAGGGCTCTGGGCTGTGTTGGTGAGTGGAGCTCTATGCTGGGACATGGGGCTGCAGGGACCTGCCTTGCAGACCTCTGTTGGGGCCTTACCTTTTTCCCTTCGGTGTCCCCACAATAAAACTGCTCAGCTTTGGTCTTGCCCATCACCACAGGGTCAGCAGCTTCAAGGTGGGAAGGATTGGCTACCAGGGACAGGGTGATGTTCCTGTCGGTCACACGGTTGATCCTCCGGTGATACATGCCCAGGTGGTACTTCACATCCCCAGAGCCCTGAAGGGGTAAATGGTGGGTTTGGACCCTGGCCAGGGAGAGGCTCTCTCTCCACAATAGCCCTTTAATATGGGATTTCTATTCCCAGGACCCCACTGCAGAAGGATGAGGAGGCCTTTTCCAAGGATCATTCCCACTCGGGGCACAAAAAGGTCCCTCAGCCAGGATGGACATCTTTACACTTAATAGGAGGACCGTGGGGCCACCGAGCCTTGGACTGGAAGGTAGGCCACTGGTCACCTCCTTTGTTCCGATGCCAGAACTATTCCAACAAGGTAAGGCAAATCGCAAATGGCACAGAAGAACTGAGGCCCTGGCAAATCTGAGAAACATGTGAGCCAGGGGTTGTGTATATGCTGGGCCTATGCTGGAGTGTCTTGATACAAGTATCTCACCTCATCAGCTGCCTCCAGTTTCGAATCGAACTGACAGAAAATCTGCTCCAGCTCCTTCCTGATGACATTCGCAAGCACGTTCAGCCGCCCCCTAAGACACAGGAGCGGGCAGGTGGGATGAACAGAGCCAAAAATCATAGCTCTGAGATGGCAGGCAAGGCTGCTGCAATTCCCTCCCCTCAACCAAGACATGGCACCTCTTTGGTTTGCAGCCCAAGAATAGCCCAAGAACCAGAGCCAATGTGGGCACTGAGCCTCTGTCCACTGGGCACCTGAGGTCACAACACAGTGGGCAGTAGAAAGCCAGAAAGTACAGAAATGCTGCGAGCCTGTGGCCTCCTCAGCCTCCATTACCTCCCTGTGCTTCCCCCATTCCCATAGTCTTAGCCTTCCTCCCAGTGTCAGAAAGAGCCTTCCCTCCAGGTTAGACCTCAACAAGGGCACTGGGGCTTAATTTTTATAAAAATGCAATGAAAGGCCAAATGCCAATCTGAAACCACATGTGGTCTTGGCTGTGACAGTGACTCTGCAGAGTCTTCCACAGGCAGGGGTGTGAGAATCCTCTGAAAACAAGACACTCTCACCTACCCGATGAGCCCAGGCTCACAACTGACACTTGAGGAGAGAATGGCTGCTCGCTCAGTGCTCCCACCCAGTGCTTCCTATGCAGCCCACGGGATGGCAAGAAACCAGTGGGAAGCATTCCCAGCAGTACCTGTGCGGCATGCCCATGATCACGTAGTCTACTCCATTCTCACTCGACTTGTCAATGATGGTCTTGAGGGCAGGGATCAGTACCTCACAGCCTTCCAGACCAAAACGCTTCTCAGAAGACCACTTCCGTTGCAGGAACTCTTCAAACCTGCATAGGGAACCAAGCCACCTTGGAGAGCAATGTCACCAGGGCCAGACTTTGTCACCAAAGTCAAACTTTCCTGAACTACAAGAGGGGGTTCTAGAGGCTGACTACTTGCCTGGTGTCCCTTCACATGCATGTGCTGCAGCCACACCCATGCCCTGGACAGCTCACAGTCTGCGCACAGGCCCACAGCCCCCACAGCCCCAGGCCAGACCCGTACCTGGTGGACCGCACGAGCCTGGCCAGCAGGGTCCGCTTCTCCTCGTTTGTGAATTGCATGATCCCGGGGGTCTCGAACTTCTGCCGGATCCACTGGCACTGCTCCAGGTCATTGATGAACATGAACTCCACCCCAATGTGCTGGCAGTAGGCCATCTATTCCACACAGACACACACAGGCAAGGTGCTTCCAACCAGATCTGGTTGAATGAAGACTACTAACTGCCCACTCAGTCCAGAAGGCAGGGGAGTGGGGGTGGGGAGGGGGCAGTTTGGGGGTGGTGATTCCTTCTCAACTGTATCTGAGCCAGGTGAGACTGATGGAATGGAGATGGAGTGGTTGCCAGCAGCTCACAAGGCCATGAAGTGCTTTCCTCAGGGACCTTGATCACTTGCACACAGAGAACCTCTTGGCTCTCCAGGGGCCAGGCCAAAGAACAACCTCCGTTCTCCTCGGTTCCCTCCATGGCAAGAAACACAGACCATATCAGCTGTGGGAATAGGTCCTTCCCCAGGGAAGGCAGGCTGTCCTCAAGGTCAGACCTGTGCCCAACACCCGTGATAGGAAATGTCCACATGCTGCCAAGGGCTTAACAGCTGTTTAAAATTTGCAGGCTTTCAGATTTTTAACTTCCACTTTTTAATAACTGACTGTTCTGGGAAACTTCAAAAGATGCAGAACTGACAGAAGTCAGGGTCCTGAGCAGACTGAGATGTCCTATACAAAATCCATCTTCCACAGCTAGGGAAAGTGGCAACCAGCTCTATAAGGCTTGGTGGGACAAAGCCAGGAGAGGAGAGGTACCATAAATGGGAAAAGGCACCAGGCTCCTGGGGCTGCCCTAAGCTAAGTCTAGTGTTCCTGCAGAGGTCCATGGCTTGACCTGCACAGGTAAACTGGAGGACCAGGACAAGGGTCTGAAAGCAAACCCCAAGTTAGAACAGAGGAAAAAGGAGACAGGCCCTGTTGCAGCAACAATGACACTTGACAGACCCCGGAAGACATCTTGAACTGTCATCACAACAGCCAATCAATGTGTCAGGTCTGCCCAGCAGCTCTTGTCCATGATTCCATTTGGTTTTCACAACAGACAAAGAAGCCAGCTGGGAAAAAAAGGATTTGCTGAATCTGAGCTCCTCCCTGTTCTCTGCAGGGTGAGGGTGTGCCATTCCTAAATACATACTCTAGGATCAGGAAATGAAGCAAACTTTGCCAGAACTCAAAATTATGACCAACCTCAATACTCTAGTTATCACTCTAGACAGCAGAAGAAAAATCCTGCCTAAAAACAAAAAGAAAATACTGCTGGGAAAGACCCAGTATTTTTACCAACCCCTGCTTATGATTTGAATATTTGTCCCCTCCAAGTCTCATGTTGAAATTTGATCCCCAACATGGTGGTGAAGACTAATGGGAGGTGTTTTGGTCATGCAAGTAGATCTCTCAAGTATAGTTTAATGCTCTCCCTCAGAGTTGAGCGGGGTTCTCATTCTATTAGTTCCCAAGATAACTGGCATCACCCCCCTCCACCCCATGCTTCCTCCCTTACCATGTGATCTCTGCCCATATAGGCATCCCCTCACCTTCCAACTTGAGTGGAAACAGCCTGAGGCCCTCATCAAATACAATGCTAAATCATGAACTTTCTTCCTTTTTTTGAATTGGAGTTTTACTCTGCTGTCACCCAGGCTGGAGTGCAGTGGCACGCTCATGGCCATCACAGCCTCCACCGGCTGGGCTCAGGCAATCCTTCTGCTTCAGCCTTCCAAGTAGCTGGAACTACAGGTGCATGTCACCATGCCTGGCTAATTTTCTTATATATTGTAGAGACGAGGTCTCACCATGTTGCCCAGACTGGTCTTGAACCCATGGGCTCAGGCAATACTCTTGCCTCCACCTCCAAAAGTGCTGGGATTACAGGTGTGAGTCACCATGCCCAGCTAAATCATGGGTTTTCTAGTCATGAGCCAAACAAACTTTTTTATCTTTATAAATCACCACTCTCAGGTATTCCTTTATAGCAACACAAGATGGACTAAGACGACCCCAAACCATTATGTCCTAACCTTTAAGATGATAAATTAGGAACTTCTAAACTGGATGCATACCCCATCCCTCACTTCAGAGCCAGCAGCAGTCCACTGTTTCATCCAACCTTTACAGATGTTTGGGGGATCCACAGTGTCCCAGTCTACTGACCAGTAGAAGAAAGTACAGTTCTGAAGAAACCCATTCAAGAAGACATAGCCCAGCTCAGAATGGCTGCTGACAAGAACCTTCAAAGATGATTCATGTTCCCGGGGTACACGTTTGGGTCGCAAACTGGCTGTCTGTCCATTCTTTTTTATCCTGGCCCCAAGTGACCAGCTGGGGAGGAGTGCTGGGAAGGCTCTTCCCTTTGTCACGACTACTGTCCACAACTGCAGAGGTGGCAAAACGATGCTGCCAGGGCTCTTACCCATGCCTCTTCCTTCTCCCTTTATGACTGACAGAGGCGGAATTTCTATTATTGAATAAATAAAAGCTCAAAGGAAACTACTTGGTTAAAGGCTCTAGAAATCAGTATCTCCCCAACATTATCAGCATTACTTGCGCTATTAACTTGTAGATATAGTTATCAGGCTACTGGATAATGTTTTATTTTTCCTGTTCTTAATTCTATCTCCAGTAGAAAAGGACAGAGAGTGTTAGTGGCTGATTCTGTTTCTCGAATGAGAAAAATTTTAGGAAGCCAAGTCACATTTTCTCTAATTTTTAAAAGAGATGCAAGTTGACTATTATGTCATGTGATCAACGTACGTTCTGTCTAATTATGCCACCAATATAACACATATACAACATTACACATAAATAAAGCATCATCATCAGGCAAGGTAGTGAGCTGTTTACACAAATATCTGTAAACTGCTGTGAGAATGAAGTCTTCTAAAGCTGGGGCCACTCTGGATATAGGAGATGTTTTGGCCTGGGCCTTCTGGGGTCCAGGACTAATTGTCCCAAGACAGTAAGAGCCAAATCCAGGACTCTGGCATCAGCTGAGTTGAAAGGCAAGCAGCCCTTCAAATCCTGCGGCCTCTCTATCTGCTTCAAATGACACAACTGGGACTACTTGGGATGTGAAATTCAGAGAGGAAGTTAGCCATAGGGGACATCAGCACCCCTGCCTGATTTTCCTTTCTGGGAAGGAAGGTGCTGAAGGGGCCCCTGAGATGACACACTGTGGCTTGCTATGAATACAGTGACCCCAGGGGAGCTTCCAATGAGAGTACATGCTTAACAACGAGCTGCTAGGCTCCCCACTGAGGACTCCTCTGAAGTGAAAGGGGCTCTCAGGGCCAGATAAACAGGAAATATGCTGAGGGAATGGGGTGGGACACAAGAGCAGCCAAGTAATTTGGGAGCAGGGCTTCTTGAAGAAGAACTGTCTATATGGGGTGCCATTTGTGGGGACATAGACAACACGAGAACTTCTAGATCAGCAATATCCAACAGAAACAAAGTGAGCCCCATATGTAATTTGTCTTCCTAGTAGAAACAGATGAAATTAATTTTCCTATTTGACCCAACGTATCAAACATACTACCTTTTCTTTTTTTTTTTTTTTTTTGAGTTGGAGTCTCACTCTGTCACCCAGACTGTAGTGCAGTGGCCGCTCCATGCCACTGCAGCCTCAACCTGCTGGGCTCCGGTGATCCTTCCACCTCAGCCTTCCAAGTAGCTGGAACTACAGGCGTGCGCTACCACACCCGGCTAATTTTTGATTTATTGTAGAGATGAGATCTCGCCAAGTTGCCCAGGCGGGTCTCGAACCTGTGGGCTCAGGCAATTTACTCACCTCAGCCTCCCAAGGCACGGGATTACAGGCTGAGCCACCGAGCCCGGCTACCTTTTCAATATTTTAAAAAGTTATTCAGGTATTTTGCACATTTCAACTGCTTGATGTGGCTAGTGGCTCCCATGTTGAACAGGACTAAAGATTATGGTTAATGTCGTGACACTGGTGCAGGTAAAGGTGATAGGAAGAACCCAAAGGTTAATTCACCTCAATTTACCTTGGCCACTCCCTCTTGGTACCCTCGCCCTACTAGTGACCACTTCCCACTGGCATCTACCTCTCCTGCTGACCATTTCTTCCTGACACCCCATTCTGGTGCCACCTCCTTCTGGCTGACCCCTCTTTTCTGATGCTGGCTGGCACTTAGGTCTGGTTTCCACCCCCTTCTCTCCTACAGGCCTAGAAGTGAGGAAGGCAGGCAGTGAGGCAGCTCCAAACTGAGATGCTGACTGACACTGCAGGATGCTCATCACAAACTGCAAAAAATGCTGTCACCTGACCCTCAGATCTTTTCATGCCACTCTGCAGCCAAGTGTGGAACCAATGAAGAGAATTTTAAAATGAACCTCACTTGCTGTAGCAAGGGCTAATCACTGGGATGTAGTAGGGGGTTCGGACTTAGGGGACCTGAGCTGTGACCTGGGTACTGAGGGTTCTGAAAGTTCCCAAGGTGGTTCTCATGTTCAGCCAAGGCAGAAACTACCTCAGAGAGTGCTACTGGCCAGTGTGGTTAAGCCTAGCCTGTTAGGCACATCAGGTGCTACTGAAGGATCCAGACTCTTCATGACACAGGACCTCAATTCTGAGAAGCCCCATTCCAGAGCATTTTCTCAGTCTGCTTTAACCTCAGTTCTTTAGCTCTGAACATCAGGAGCAGTATTAAGTAATAGTAACAGTTAACTCTTGGCATGGACTGCTCATCAATCCCACTCTCCCCTCTGGAATGGGCATGGAAGTTACCCTTGCTACGACTTGCCCAGGAAGGCAGGACTGGACACAGGCGGCTTAATACCTGAGCCATGACTTTTAGTTGTTGTCGCTAAAGTTATGTGTCTGCAAGAGTTCCCTATCTACAAAAAAAAAAAAAAAATTTTAAGTTCCCTTTCCCTTACTTTTTAAAAAAAAAAGATAGGACCAAACAACAAAAAAATCGAGTTTTGAGGCCATCCTGCCAGTGCAGGTTCTTAGCAAGGCCACCAGACTTTTCTGAAAACCGCTTTGGTTCTTACCTCCAGCCGGCGGATGATCTCTCGCAGAGGAAGCGCTGACTCCTGTCCCCCGATAAAAGTGGTGGTGGGCAAGTGGAAGACCTTGTCGAGGTCAGACTCATCCAGGCCGTAGAACCCTGCAGGGCGATGTGGGCAGGACAAGCCAGATGAGGAGGGACAGGGCACAGCCATGCAGGGGCCACAGTTTATGGAAAGAGAAAGGAACTCCTCAAGGGAGCAAAAAGGAAAGAAAAAATTCACACAAAAAGCCCCTGATATATATGAAAATAAGTAATACTTCAAGGCCAGAAACACAGACTTCAGCAATAAACGGAAGCTGAGAATATTACTGGGTTTCACAGGTAAACCACAACAAAATTCAGAGTATGCATGTATTTGTTCAGTGTGTCAATTGTTCATAATATAGAGACAATTTATTTCAAAGTCTCAAAGATAACCAATTTTGGGGGTGGGAGGAAAGAGCCACGAAAAGGCACTAAGTAAGTCAATAAAAGATCAAATAAAAAGTTACAGAGGAAATTAAAGCAGAAAATGAGGAAATGATATAGAACAGGAGATCATATATGTATTATATGACAATAATATGTGTATGTGGTAAATGACAAAAAGTTGAGGGACTAAGTGAAGGAGAAACAGTCACCAGAAACCAACTGGTCTTAGAAGAGCTGCCCAGGAGGGGTCCAACACCGGGCAGCAGCACAGTGGACAAACAGCCCTTGGCCTCTGATAAGGATGGTCCTCTTCTGAAATTTACAAACTACACATTCTAAGCCCATTCTGCAGGCAGTACTCAGCAGTCACAGGTCTAACACTCCCTCTCCCCAATCCAATCACTCAATTGGAGCACTAACTATGGGGAAGATGCCTCTTCATCTGAAAGCATATTTCAAATTGATAAAGAATAATGATGGAAGGGCTCTTTTTCTGGCGTTATGTGCTTGTTTCATCTTGCAATAATTATCAGGGAAGAAAACTGTCACATGACACCATATGTTCTTTTTTCTTGTTTGGCATCTACCTGACATAATATATCAGCTAGAGTAGGGCCAAGAGCACAATTCAAGAGTGACTAGCAGTGGAATAAATTGCACCAGGATCTTCTCAGGTTTCAGGAAAGAAAAATGAATCTGTAAACAAGGATTCTGCAAGGTCTCCAACATCTTCACAAGATGAAATATTCTCATTGTCTCCCGGCCAACTTAAGGGTAAAAATAAGAGCCACTGTGAGACATAAGGGCCCAGCACGGAATTAACACAGTAGTTTACAAACACACTGTGTATTTGAATCTCCTGAGAGATTTGTAAAAATGCACATTACCAGGATCCAAGTCTGGTACTGATTCACACTGAATCCCCCCAGGTGATTCTGATTCAAGTTGGGTTTGGGAACTACAGTATTTATTGATAAATACTTTAGGACAGTTTTTAAGTCTTTTGGGTTTGGGAACTACAGCAATTTTTTTTTTTTTTTTTGAGTTGGAGTCTCACTCTGTTGCCCAGACTGGAGTGCAGTGGCCACTCCCGGCCACCGCAGCCTTGGCCTGCTGGACTTCGGCGATCCTTCCGCCTCAGCCTTCCAAGTAGCTGGAACTACAGGCGCGCGCTACCATGCCCGTCTAATTTTTTGATTTATTGTAGAGATGAGGTCTCGCCAAGTTGCCCAGGCAGGTCTTGAACCCGCGGGCTCAGGCAATCCACTCACCTCAGCCTCCCAGGGCACAAGATTACAGGCTGAGCCACCAAGCCCAGTTTACAGCAATTATTTATAAATACTTTAGGACAGTTTTTATGTCTTTTTTTTTTGAGTTGGAGTCTCACTCATTCTGTCACGCAGGCTGGAGTGCAGTGGCACGCTCACAGCCACTGCAGTTCACAGCTGGAACTGCAGGTGTGCACTATCACACCCAGCTTATTTTTTGATTTATTGTATAGATGATGTCTCACCAAGTTGCCCAGACTGGTCTTGAACCCCCAGGCTCAAGCAATCCTCTCGCCTTGACCTCCCAAAGTGCTGGGATTACAGGCTGAGCCACTGCACCTGGCCAGTGTTTAGGTCTTAAAAGCATTCTCTGTGTTTTCCAAGTTGTTTGTTTTATTAAAACAAAGGAAATCTGGCTTTTTTTCTTAAACCTGAAGGGTGACGATGGTAGTAGTGACTTAGTTAAGCATGCCCACCCATTTCCTCCAGTTATTCTGTCAATAATGAAGACACCACAATCACTTGGGACTGGGTGATGCAACAGCTCTTGCCATTTATGACCCAGCTTTTGGTTAACTGCTCTATGTGTTTATGAATGAAAAACAAAATTATTTTTGAGAAATCTGTCCTAGCTGATGAAAAAACCAGACCAGGGGCAGATGTGGGGACCAGAGTATCCAAACAGTGCCCATTTTGTTGGAAAAATAGCTGGACTGTGATTAACCAGTCACGGGAATGCCCCCAAGATGAAAACTGTGCACTGGTCACAATCTTTCAGCATGAAGACCCTGTGAAGTAACAGTCTGCAGATATCCCCAGTCTCATCATGTGGTCAGGTGGTGATCCTTCTTCTATCATCCTGAATTCACAGTTCTTGGGCTGTATTGCTGAGTCGTGGAACTGCAGGCCCACTTGTAGTCCTTTAGACATTTGAGAAATTAAATCTATAGATGTGTACTTTGGAACGGTACAACTAACAATCCTAGACTCCATATGTAAAACAAACATAAGACAACCCTGAAAGGGAGATAGAAGGCAGCAGACCAGCTAGGGAGGTCTCAAGGCAAAACACAGCAGGGAGGTCCCTGGGTTTCCTTTTGGCTTTGAATATCCTAGACTAGGAGCAAAAGAATCAGCAATCCCAAAACTACAAGAGGTGTATTTGATAACAAAAGCCCAACAAAAGCGGCTCTCAATCCAAAGAACCAGGAAAGAGGCAACCTAGCAAGACAAAAAACTTTTAGACAGTAACTGCTCTACTCCAGCAAAACACTAGAAAAAACACTGTGGCCATATGCCCATCCTTACCAGGTGAGTCCCAGCCCCCAGCCTCATCCCTGAGGTTTCAAAGAAGGTCCAAGAGAGAGCCCCAAATTTCCTCCCCTCTGGGAGGTAATGCATCAGCCCTCTCCCCCTGGTCCAATATTAGTGGAGACTTGATATTGCACCAGAGCAGTGTCTAGAGAAAGTCTGCTATAACAGATTTAATAAGATCCTGACTTTTCTAATACCCAAATGTCCTGGTTTCAATAGACTACCCGTAACAAGAACCAGGAGCATCTCAGATTGAATGAGAAAAGACAATCAATAGACATCAACACCATGATAACAAAGATGTTAGAATAATCTAAAATTTTAAGGGATCCATCACAAAACAACTTCCATGAGCAATTATGAACATGATAGAGACAAATTTTTAAAAAGTGAGTCATGAAATACAAAGTCTCAGCAAAAAGTTGGAGATGTATGAGAAGCTGAGGTGAGAGGACTGCCTGAGCTCAGGGGTTCACAACCAGCATGGGCAACATGGCAGGATTTCATCAAAAAATTACCCGAGCATGGTGGCACATGCTTGGTCCCAGCTACTTGGAAGGCTGAGGCAGAAGGATCACCTGAGACCAGCAGGTCAAGGTTACAGTAGCCGCGATTGGGCTGCTGCACTCCAGCCTGGGTGACAGTGAAATTATGACTCAAAAAAAAAAAAAGGAGAGATTCAGTGGAAGAATAAGGAGGCAGACAATCAGTGAATTTGAGGACAGAACAACATAAATTAGTCAATGTGAAGAACAGAAAGAAAACAAAAAATGAACACAGTCTCAGGGACAAGTGACACTATAATAAAAGACTTCACATATGTGTGGATGAGATCAAAGAAGCAGAGGAGAAAACAAGCAGCCGAAAAAGTACTTAGAAAATGATAGCTGAAAACTTCTGTTGACAAAAGATATAAACCCACACTTTCAAGAAGCGAAGTTAATCCACAGGATATGCCTAAAGAAATCCATGCCAAAACATATCATAATTACACTTCTGAAAATTGAAATCAAAGAAAAAATTTTAAAAATATATTTTTGTAGATTTGGGGTCTTGCTATGTTGTCCAGGCTGGTCACAAATTCCTGGCCTCAAGTGACACTCCCACCTTGGCCTCCCTAAGTGCTGGGTTAAAGGGGTGAGCCATTGCACCCAGCCAAAGGAAAAAAATGTTGAAAGTAGCCATACATTGAACTAAATGAAAATGAAAATATAACATATTAAACTCTGGGGGACAGCTAAAACAGTACCAGTACCTTATCTATAGGGGAAAACAATTCAAATGACAAGATTTTTCATCAGAAACCATGGAGGTTAGAAAGAAGAGGCACAGCAATTTTCAAGAGCTCAAAGAAAAGGATTCTGTCTACATCATGATAAAAGGGTCAACCTACTGAGAGGACAGCAATTCTAAATAAAAGCTGCAAATTACGTAAACCAGAACCTGACAGGACTAAAAGGATAAATCCTATATCCACAAAAAAAAATCCTGAAGGAAAGAAGGGGAAAACAAGAGATTCACAGATGAAGAAAAATTAAGTTTGTCCCCAGCAGACTTGCCCTAAAAGAATGGCCAAAGGAAGTTCTCTAAATAGAAAGGAAACAAAACAAGAATCCTAGAATACCAGAAGAAAAATCACAAAAAGCAGAAATCTGAATAAATATATCAGACTTTCCTCTTAGGTCTTCTAAATTATGTTTGGTGGTTGAAGCAAACTAACAATACTGTCTGATGTGGTTCTAAAAGCATATAGAGAAAATAGTTAAGATAATTATATTATAAATGGAGAAGGGTAAAAATATATAAAAGAAGGTAAGGTTTCCACACTTAACTTTTACTGGGAAAGTGATAGCTTCAGGAGACTATGATAAGTTATGTCCATCTAATGTAATAATACCTAGAGCAACCACTAAAAAAGCTATACAAAGGGATACAGTAAAAAACACTATACATAAATAAAACAAAAATTTTAAATATGGGTTTATACCTTCTGTTCATCATATCTGAGAAAAAAAATTAGAAAATAAAATAAAATATGGGTTTAAAAATCTACAAGGAAAGTGAAAGCAAAGAAATGAAAAATGAAACAGAAAATAAAGAATAAAATGGCAGCCTTAAGTTCTAACGTAGTAATAATTGCATTAAATATAAAGAATCTAAATATACCAAGTAAAAGATAGAGATTGGTAGAGTGGATTAAAAAAAACCCCAC